TAAGTATTTGCTTTTCTAATGGCAAAAACTAAATTTTCATGAAATTTCATGACAGATTACTTTAATTTTCAGAACATTTCATTGTATCTAGTAATTTAAAGGCAATCTGTTCGTGTACTTTGCGTAGTCCTACAAGGCAAGTTCTGTCTTTATGTGGAAATTTGGGGTTTTGAACAATGGAATTGTACTATGATGGAGTTTACTAGATTCTGTTTTATTTAGTGAAGTCTGCAAGGTTTTTTTGTTGTGAGTTGTCAGATGTATGTTTGTTGTAAAAAGTCAGAGAGTATCTTTCAAAAATCCTGGGCCAACAGGAATAAAGCAGATACATGTTCCTTTTACAGTGTTCTAGCATCACGATACTGTAATCTCTCACTTTAGAAGTGCTGCCCTAAAGTAGCCTCCAGTGGCTTTGTATTTCTTCCAGTAGCAATAGCAAATCCAGCTTCTAATACTTCAGCTTCAGTCAAAGGCTCAGTTGTTTCCCTGATGCAGAATGACAGCCCAAGTTCTGAAAATGTATTGATCAGATTTCCTGGGAGTTTTGTTTAACCAGCAACATTAGAAACCTTTAGTGTTAATACTAAATGTCATGAAGAGAGGCATCTGTTTTATCAATATCTTTCTGTAACAGTATTGACTGTTCAGTTTGAATAACCAAAACCTGAGACTGGAAACAATTTTGTCTTTTACCCTACATACATACATCAAGTCATTTTACACCTTATTGCTGAGATTGGATTATCCTGGCTTATTATAAAAGTCAAAGTGACTGCAGTTCTGGAAAGCTTCTTTGACGATGAGGACAGGCAAAGATGCAGGAATGGACCATGACTAGGTTCCCTGCAGATTTAAGTCAGAACAGTTTCATTGGTTAACAAATTATTACAAATGATTTGTCATTAACAAATCATAACAACTTAATTTTCTCAGGTACTGCATATAATCAGATGCAGTGAGATGGCAGGACCTCCCCCTTTCCTAATGCTGGTGTATTCAAATTAAAACTTGAGTATTCTTACTGTTGATGAGTTCAGTTTACTTACATAAAACCCAATTAAATAGCAACAAAATGCAAAAAGAACATCACTGTTAGAAAATGATACTTCTCTTACGAAGTGGTGGGCCTCCTGAGCTGAACCTCCAAAGCACTAGGTCTTTGGTCAATCCATTGTAGCTTTGTTGATCTCTGTGCTGCCAAACCATTTTCTGCTAGTGCTCTGTCTGGTCCAGATGCATTACAGCATCACGACAGATCTTACAGGAACAGTGACAGTTCAGCACAACAGATCCGTATGTGGCAAAGTCACCAAACAGATTCGAGTTGTTCCTCTTAAAATCAATTTTGTAGCTTCTTGACTATTCTGATAGCCATCTCCTCATGAGATGAATACTTCAGAGCAGAATACCTCACTTTTTCTTACCATATGTCTTTCAGAAGTTGGTGTATTTCAGACTGTTGATTGAAGAGTTTTTGATATCTTTGGCATTTAAGGGGATTGCAGTCTTGAATGATAAGTTTCATGGATGATAGTTTAAAAATCTTTGAGTGAAAAACCTTTTCTTTTACCAGACCTAGGTTATGAAATTTATCCCATTTTGTCACAGACTTAAGAAGTCAACAGACTTCAGAGAAGGGTGGTTTTTTTGGGTATTCAGATTTGTTATAATAAATAGGAATCACCCTAAGCTTGGATTTCATGGAGAACTGGGACATTTGTATTTCAGAACTGAACAGAACTTTCAGCTCTTAGTGGACTTGGAAAACTGTCGCAATGGTGTTTACCACAATTTTCCCTTCAAAGCATACAACATCTAGGCACGACCTGAGCCCTGCATTTGTGTGACCTTTTCATCAGCTACAGCTTCACTGTAGTGCAGGCTTCGTTATGTTTGATATGTTTTGTGAAGACATACTGTATTTTTGTTGTGGTACTGACTCACACTTTGGGTGATTTTAGGTATTTGGTTATTAGATTATGCATATTCTACAAATGCTGTTCTACAAGTGGTAGTGCATGTAAAATCAGTTGAACAGTATGAAGGAAAGGGAAATGAGTCAAGAGAAGAACAGAACAAGAGGCCAAAGAAGCACTTCAAAATAAGTACTTGGGTTTGTTTTTTTTTAATTACTATTATCATTTAGCTTTTGTAACAAAACGCTAGAGCTTGTTCATTACCTTTTTCCAGCATTCCCTCTGACCTCCTAGATCTGCAAATATCCAAAAAAATTATTAATTTAGGTAGCTAAAATGCAACTTTTTAAATTTCCCTGGTAGATCCTTCAGGCATACCCTGTGGCTCAACCTTTTGTCTGAAGGTCAAGAGAGTTTTATTCATCTGACATAAGTAACTTAAGTGTAGCATTTATAACTTGAGTAATGTTATGGATGATAACACCATTAGATATTTTTACAGCTTCAGCAGGAGTTCAGCCAGCAGGGCTATCAGCCTGATAAATGCTTTCATCTTAAAGGTTGTATTGCTACAATAACCCCAAAGCGTAAAGCTGCTCCTTGCAACCTACAACCTGGCTAAAGAGATGAAGAACGCCCTCTGACATTTCTAGGTTGCTAAAGAGCTCTCAGGTTCCAGTCCAAGTATTAAGATGCTGACATGCACCTGTTCTGATCTGAATTGGAAATTACTGAGGACTTCATAATTTTGAATGATATCGGGGCAATGCTACTCAAAAGAATTACCTTTAGACTGAGATGAGACTGGGCTTTGGGTGATGAGTGCAAGCATTCCTACCCGATTATAAAATGTTTCTACAGGATTTTAGGAGGCAGAATCTTCTACTACAATTGTCAGAAACAATAGAGAGTTTCACCTCCTCTGTCTAGGTATTTGCAGTTATAAAGCTTCTAGGAAACTGGTAACAAACTAACCTATAGAGTAGATTGAAAGTGGTGTGAGAAACTAGTAGGATTTTGCCTTTGTAGAAGTTTATTTTGTAGAGATTTGAGGGAGAGTGGCAGTGTTTTGAAAGTAAATAATGAAAGCGACTGTGTGCTGATTATGCACATAAAAACAGTTGAAATAATGAACAGTGTGAAAGGAGATGATACAAGTGGAAGAAGAATAGAATAAAGGATCATGAGAGAAAGTGACATGAGATGAACAAAGCTGGAGTTCTTGCTTTTGTATCTAAGAGTAGTAATCTGAGGCTTGTAGCAAACTTTAGTTGCTGCTTTAATCCAGCAACTCTTTAACACAAAAATACTCATAACATGTAATGATTATAGTTAAGGCGGCCAGATACTGACTTTTTTCAATACTTTTGATAATGTGGAACTACTCCATTTTTTTCTTAAGATTTTAATGACTTCACTGGAGTTCTTTTGTTAAATTGCCATTCTAGTTTACAACCTTCATTGATCATTACACTGATCATTGAAGAAATTTTAGTGCCTTTTTTTTACTGACTAAGACTTAAGAAGCCACGCTTCCTTTCTGAAACGTCCAAAAGTGCAACCATGACAATTGCTTCCTAGGAGAGCGCTGTTGTATAAGTCTGATACGAAACACGCTTTTAATGCTGCAAGTCTGACACTACATCTCAGAAGGAAGATGGAAAAGAAGACCTCTGACAGCAGAGGCCAGCAGGGGTGATTGCAGTCTTTGAACAACAACTGTACTGGGAGATCCTAAGTAGGCTATGATTCTTCAGCTTGGAAAAGAGATGACATGGGGATTAGATAATAGAGGTCTATAAAAATTGTGACTGATGTTGAGAATGTAACTAGGGAGCAATCATTCTGTATTTCTTTTAGTATTAAGAGCTAAAGGTTACCAAGTGAAATTATCAATTACCAAAGAAGAAGGAATATTTTTTGCTGGAAGCTACATGAGTGTGTAGGGGAGATGCCTGCTCAGTGCATCATGTTCTTTTACTCTTCCCCAAACACTTGACCACTCTTAAAGGTAAGATACAAGGCTAGGTGAATTTTTGATCTGAGCATATAATTGTTAGTAACTTAAATTTACAAGTACTGGAAATAGGTGGCAGACTGAAGAGCAAGTATAAGATTGGCCTTCCTTTTAGCTTCATTTTTAATGCTGGCCAGATTTCAAATTGATGAGTGCCTTTAAACTTGCTTTAAAATGTATTTGCCTCTTATGGAATTACGTGATAGCAGCAACAGCCTTGGCTAATGCATTTATAGTTTTAAGATTTATTCATCCTTATTTCCTGATGCTTTTCTAAAATTCATCAAATATGCAAGGTCTTAACTTGCTTAAAGCCTTGAAACAGAAAATGCTTATAAGAAAGTAAAATTGCAGGTTCCAGTCAGTCTGACTTCAATCTCTGCATAATGGCTATGGAGTTGCGTAGAGGCAAGAAAAAAACTCGGGTTATCCATTTGGTATTTGAAATGGTGGGTGGAAGCTCTTCTTCATCTCTTCCTGAATGTGTAGCACGTTGCCTTCCTCTTGGACTGATCATACTGCTTTTGCCTCTGTTTTGCCACCTGCTCTCAGCTTGTCAACTGAATAGCCTGTCTTTCTCTATTCAGCTTTCTCTTTCTTACAAGCTGTTTGAAATCTCTGCGAAGACCTCACTTTTGTCAGCAGTGCCTTTTCTTTTGATACTGTTATGACTGATGCACACTTCAGTTTCTGCCACCAATTTTAGAAGTTTCTGTATAATCCAAAAATACTGCAGAATCTGTGGTAGCCCTTCTGCCAGCTCACTTCAGTTGTAGTAATGGCCAAGTTCAAATAAAGTGTAATGTTTCATGTGAAAGTGAACAAAATGCACCACAAGACATTACTTGCTTGCAGATTTTTATGAACTTAGCTCTAGACTCTACTGCTTTAACTTCATTCTTTACATAGATCTTTGGTTGCAATGTCCTATTCTGGCACCATTTCACATCCCTGACTGCTTTGCTTTCACTTAATTTCCAGCATAGCTAGTTAACTACAAGATGCATTTGAAGGAGGGTCCAGTGGCTGACATTTGGAGAGACTAAGGCCTGTTCTGTTATTTCCAGGTACTGTTTGGCACTGCTGATGGACAAGTTATCGTCATGGACTGTCACGGCCGAATGCTGGCCCATGTGCTCCTTCACGAGTCAGACGGCATCCTCAACATGTCCTGGAACTACCCGAGCTTCCTGGTGGAGGACAGCAGCGAGAGCGACACGGACTCCGATGACTATTCCCCACCACAAGGTAGTGTTGTGTGCATGTCCTTCTGTTTCAGTTTTGCCAAGTGCTCGTGAAGACATCTCAAATACAGGGAGTTGTCATGCTGTTCCAAAACAACAGGATGGCCACAGTTTCAAGCTCTGGTAGACTAGAGAGCTGGTATGGGAGAATGGGTTTGTTCCCAGCTCTGCCACCAGCCTTGCTGCAGGTCATACCTCATCTGTGCTGCTCTGCCTCTGCACAAATGAGATAACAGCACAAAGCTCAAAGTTTTCAGTGAGGGTGACTAAAAAGCACTAGATAGAGGCATGTCAGGTTTCACTGATAAGCAGGTTTGAGGTATTGCAATGGTTCGTATGTGTGCAGGTAGTCAAAGTGCAGTCATGGAAGTTAATGCATTATTATATACATCCATGTGAAAAGACGCAAGTACTAGACATAGTGTGAAGTACTGTATATGTAATTTTATCTCTGTCTCTTAGGATTTCTGTAATGCTTATCATTTCAGTCCCATCTCTGATAGTCCTGATGTAAAGAGTTCAATAAATACCATAAAAGACTCGAAAATTAAGGTATTATCTGCAATTATGTGGGGTATAAGCAGGGTGAATAAAGATGTCTGGAGTTACTAATTCACATGCTTCAGAGGAGATTGCCAGTTTGAGGGTCAGGAAGAAATCCTTCCCTCTCCTTAAGTCTCAGTACAACTCATTTGGTGAAATGCTTTGGTTTTAAACTCTCAAAATCATCAGTAGCAAAGACATATGAGGCCTAGGTGTCCATGCGCAGTCAGTCCCATCCCTCTCATTTAAGTAACACTAATACTTCCCGGTGATGTGGTTGATTAGTTTATAAGCTGTAGATATGTAATTTCTGTGTTCTAGTGTATAATGGTTGAACTAAATAAAGAATTAAGTTTATACAGTGGTGATTGTACAATGAAAATTTTAAATACAAAGTATCTAGAAATAATTCTGAATTTGCATCTCAGATCCGAACCTCTGAATTGAGGACTTCTGCAGTTTTAACTCTAATTTGGATTCAGTTAAAAAATCTACCTTTTCCAGTACCATGTGTGTATACATAAGCTTGTCTGTATAACAAGCTTATGTATTTAACAGATAATGAAAGAAGATAGTCTGATCATCTGGTAAAATGATCGCATATTTTAAAACTGAGTTTCATTTTGGCTTTCGTTCCTCACTTTTGGTACTGGGTGAGATTTCTTATCTTAAAAGAAAAGAAATTAACTTCAACCTAGCAAGCTTCTAAAACAAGACAAGACAACAGCATTGAATTGGTTTTTTGCTGTTTTTGTTTTTAAATACTGAGGTTCCAGTTGGAGGATGATGAAGCTGCAGAATACACAGATGAGAACTTAAATGATCTGAATGTGTTAGCTTTTTTCTGAGTCAGTCAGGGGGTGGGTGGACTCATTACAAGCCTACAAGCCTATTTTAATGATTACCCAAACATGATGTGTTTTCTTGAGAGCAGATGCAGCATAAATCGCTCAAAGGTGATGAGCCTTTGACTCACACAGATGTGTAAGAAGGACTAGAAGTTTGTTGGGTTTTTGTTTTTAGATTATATACACACAGAGTTGGTAATAAGTAGACATCTTTCTCCAAAATGCTTTCTGATCAACTTTTTTACAAGTTCAGAAAGCAATATTACTCTTAACTGGCTCTGCCATTTTTGTTGACTGAAAAGATATTGGCTGGGCCTTGAGAGACACTTAATCAGGGACCAGTGACATCTTCTCTCAGAAACTGTAAACAGGAAGAGTTAAACAGCAAATGCTACAGATGGTGATATTGGTCATGAAGTATTTAAACAAAGGAGTTTCAGTGAATACTGAAAAACAAACCCAGAGCAGAGACTTTGCAGAAATGATTTTTAAGCCACATGTTCCATTTAGGCTCACTCAGACCTTTGGGTGCATTGGATCCTGTTACACAGAATGGAAGGTAACTTCATGCTGCTGCCTAGCTCTTAATGTTTAGAATGAAGTAATTTGTGACAGGTCAAATTGTTCTCTTAAAGTTCTTATAATGTCTCTATGTGACTTAAGGAGGAGTCCCGAGCACTTGTCCAAGAAGAATGTATGTTGAACAAATAATTTTTAATGTGATTATATTGTTCATCACACTGGTTTTCAACTTGGGTTCCAAGGAAGTCTTCCGAGGCATTGGTTTTCAATTTTTTGGCACTTCAGGGAGTTGACAATGGAGAAAGATTGAAAAACACCGCTATATAATATAATAGGATATGCAATAAATCACTTTGGATATGCTGCAGTAAAAATTCACAAAGTAAAAACACAGGAGTGTCACAGAAACAGACAAGCTTAAGTAGGGAAATCTGCTTTGCTTTTGCCTATAAATGTTGCAGAAATAAACAGGTGGAATTTGAGGCTGGAAACCACTCCTGATGATGGTAGGCTGACATACTGTGTGTTTCAGCCTAGGTGTAGTTACTTTTGGTTGTTTACCTTTTGCTCACTCCAGAGCCTTGTTTTGCAGATGGACCAGCTGCGTATCCCGTCCCGGTGCAGAACACCAAGCCACTGCTTACTGTCAGCTTCACGTCAGGAGACATCAGTTTAATGAACAATTATGATGACTTGTCTCCTACTATCATCCGCTCAGGGTTGAAAGGTACAAAAAGAAGCCATTTCACTCCTTCCTATGCTCTGTTTTTCTTGTGGTTTTAATAATGTGTGCATAGGTTATGTTTTTGTGATTGTGTCTCCTCAACCCTGAAGCATTCGGCTGCTGTTATTGCTGTTTGGAGCAGTGACACCTGCTGGAGGAAGAACAGCGCTTGGCTGATGGAGTTTTTATGTTTGAATAATGTTTCAAAATGTTTTTGATATAGTGTTTTTTGGCAGTTTTGTAGAGCAATCGATCTGTTTGCTGTTGTTCAGCTGAATGTACTGGTGTGTTTATGCTTTTTTGTGTGAATGCCTCTGCTACATAACACTGCCCTTGCATGTTTAATTGACAAAGTTTTTCGTGCTTTTGGTAACCCAATGTGAATTGCAGCGCCGCTTTGATTCTCACAAATATTGAAAACTTGCTAGAATTATTAACTATCAAGAAGCAAGTTATTCTGAGAGAAGGACAATGGCATTGATTAATTACTATGCATCTTGCTAAGTGATGTGCATGAATGTTTGTTCAATCGGCATTCCATGTAAAATCTTTAACTCACATTGAAATTTTTACTGGTTTTGCCTATTAAAAAAGTCCCTTACTTTGCCGGCACTCTCAGTACAATTTACTGTGTTTTGCCTGCAGAGACATTTTGATTCACTGCCGCACATAGGCACATATGCTTTAGCACCTCCACGGGTAAATTAGTTTTAAGTTAGATGAAAAGAAAATGAGGCTGTTGGAGCAGACTCTTAGCTGTTCTGGGGCAGGGGGATGTTTTGGTGAAAAGTTTCACTAACACCAGCCCCATAGTTTTTTGGTGATCGATTATATAAAGTAGTCTTTGGATGTAAAAAAAAAAAAAAAAAAAAAAAAAAAAAAAAAAAAAAAAAAAAAAAAAAAAAAAAAAAAAAAAAAAAAAAAAAAAAAAAAAAAAAAAAAAAAAATCACCTTTGAGGTTTCTTTTTCACTCCTCCCTCCATCTGTGCCATCACAAGAAGTGCATGAGTGGCAAAATATGGCATCATGAGGCAACCCTTTGATCCAGAAAACTTTGTCAACCAAAAGGATGCCTAAAGTATGGAAAACTTAGTAGTCTTGAGTTGTCACCTAGTCCATCTTTCCACTGGAAACAGTAAGAGAAACAAACCACAGGTTGTTCTCTGTTTAGAGTTGCAGGGCTCTTTCTTGCTGAGTGTGTCTGTCCTGTTTCTCTTTCCCCATTGACTCTCACTAGTAGAAAAAAGATCCCTTAATTATGTCAAGAATGTGCAAAACCACCCAGTTCAGGATCTCCGTCCTGTCCAGGCACTTGGTATTCTGCTGAGAGTGGATGGTGTTCAGTATTGGCTGCAAGTTCTTATTCCTCTGCTTGTGTTTGAAATTTCAAAGTATTGCTTTGTGGTCTCTGCAGCAGATATCCCTGCCTTTATGGGCTGTTATAAGGCTACTCAATGTGTTTTTAAAGCAGTCAACTATAAAACTATTTCAAGCAGTAACAATATATTTTTGCCATTCAACTGGCTTTGCAGAGCTGTCATTTTACTGGGAATATTTCAGTGAAATTGATAGAGAAAAACGTTGATAATTTGATTACCCAAATAAAAGTTCTTCTTTTCTTCCAGTACTGGTGGTTTTGTCAGTCCTAGTGGAGGTCCTGAACTGTTCAGATGTATCCTTTCTTTTTTTATGCTTTTTAACTCAGTGATTCTCAGCCCACTGGTACCTGCAGAACTGCTGAACTACATCTACTGGTTGCACTAGTTAGTTAGAGCTATTGCCTGCTGAGGTATTGCAAATTTGCAATGCTCCCTGTTCAGTGTTTGCTGATACACATACCTGTAGTGGCTGGCAAGTAGTTTTTAGGGATGACTGATCCACTGATTTACTTGCAGACCATTACCCTGGGCAAAACCTCCATCTGATTTTTAATCTCTGTGCTTATGCTGAGAACCTAGTTATCAGTTGAACTATTTTATATAAGGGTTCAATAGTTGTTGAAGACCCTGTTGGCGGTGCAGGCATGCAGTAGAGCCACATCCAACCCTTCACTGCCTTTGCAACAGCCTAATTATAGGAGCTTGTGACAGAGAAAACTGCTGGACAAAGTAATCACTCATCTTCCTCTTGGTATGGGGATCAGCTGGAAGTTTTACCTGAAGACATGTATCCAAAGGAGACTGTTTTTTCATTTTGGTAGTATTGTAGTTAATCCAGTTACCAAAAGTGGAGTTGATCAGCTTGCCTCATTTATTTCTAGCCTGCCTATCATTTTACTCTCTGAGAAAGATGAATTAAATCCCATCGTAGGTTACTTAGAGGGCTGAAAACTAAGAGAAAACAAGAAGCATACTATGCCAGCTGTGGGAAAATTATCTTGAGGAACTTGCATCTTGCCTCTGATGTATACAGAAGCATAATTCCCATGAGAAATATCAGAAAGTTGAAATAATACAAAACCATTTTAAATTGCACATAAAAGTCCCTGAAAATGACAAGTTGACAACTTGAAACAATTTTGAGATCCTTCCTGCCAACTCTCATTTCTCTACTGCTTCTTCATTTGAAGACAGCTTCTCGCCCACAAGCGTCTTCAAAAGGTTCTTGGCAGATTGAGCATCCCAGAGCACAGAAATTTTGTCTTTACCTTCACTTTGTCTCAGCACAAAAGGGCTACCTTTCACCTTTGGTTTAAAGAGTAAAAAGTTTTAAAGACTAGCTCAGTATTCTCTGCACATGCAAATCTGCCTCTGAAACACAAGCAGAAATGCAAAATACTGTTTTAGAGCTGCTCTTGAAGTATGACAAAGAGCTAGAGGATATAAGAGTTTGAAATTAACATCCCCAAATTAAGTCGTGGGTGTTCCTTATCATGAGGTGCCTGTAAGAGAAGTAACTGATACGTATATTCATATCTGTGTATATGAGAGACTAAGCCGTTCCTGTGTGATTCTGGCAAACCCCTGCTAAGCAGGTGAGTAGATTTTCACAAGTCAGAATCACAGAATTACAGAATTATTAGGGTTGGAAGGGACCTCTGAAGATCATCTAGTCCAACCCCCCTGCCAAGGCAGGGTTCCCTAGAGCAGGCAACACGGGAACATGTCCAGGTGAGTTTTGAGTGTCTCCAGAGAGGGAGACTACAGGACCTTCCTAGGCAGCCTGTTCCAGTGCTTTGCCACCCTCAACATAAAGAAGTTCTTCCTCATGTTAAGGTGAAACTTCTTGTGTTTTAGTTTCTAGCCACTACTCCTTGTCCTATCACGGGATACCACTGAAAAGAGTCTCGCACCATCCTCTTGGCCATGCACCTTTGAGATATTTATGCACATTAATGAGATCCCATCTCAGTCTTCTCTTCTCTAGACTAAACAGGCCCAGCTCCCTCAGCCTCTCCTTGTAACAGAGATGTTCCAGTCCCCTAGTCATCTTTATATGATGGTGGCAAAAGAAAACATATGACATGGAGGCCATATGTATTTATCGACAAAAGTCCAAGTCTTTTTAATTTCACATTACACTAAGTTATAACTCTAGTTTGAGTTATGCTAGAAGTTAATATTCACAGCCAGTGAGAACATGAGGGACTGCCAGATATTCTACTTTTTTCACTGTAGGCCTTTCCAGACAAATACTCTTTGCTGCTGTCTTAGTGAGAGTATTTATCTGCATATTAACTTGATTCCACTTTTTTACCCCAAATCTGTACATAGAATCTTCCCCATCAGTTTTAACGTCTCTAGTAAATTCTTGTCCTTAGGTGTTTAAGGAGCAACCACTGATTACATTACAGACTCACCGCAGAGAGAGAAGAATGAATGTTTTTTACATGTTCTTTTGCAATGTAAAGAGTAGGGAGAGTCATTCTCCGAAGTGCATCTGTGATGTATTTTCTGCTGTTTCAATGAAAAGATTTAGGTTTCTAAGTACTTCAGTAACTTTTGAGAGCATGTTTTATCTGTTCAAGTTACTTTGTGTAATCTGGAAATGCTGTTCCTATTGATTCTGATCAATTCTGACGATTACACACCATCCTTGTGATTTCAGATGTGGTGGTACAGTGGTGCACACAAGGAGACCTACTTGCAGTAGCAGGCATGGAAAAGCAAAACCAGCTGGTTGACCTCAGCAATGGTTCCCTGTTGAAAAGCGCACTTGTCAAGTTCTACAATGTGCGTGGGGAACATATCTACACTCTGGAGACACCTGTGCAGGTAGGAGGTACTTTTTAAGTCTGTTCTCAATGCTTTGCTGACATGTCTTTCCCACGTTAGCTCATTGGTTTAGAACTGCAATGTGGAAAAGGTAGCAAAATGTCCTGAATTCATTCAAAAACGCAGTATAGATAAAAATGCAGTATAAATAATGATTGTTTGCATTAAGGTAGACATGCAAGATTGCTTCTGATCCTAAGGTCCACTGTGCTAGGTATTGTTTCCCAAAATCATTGGGCCATGAACAGACAGATAGAAAAAGAAAACTGTTTTTTAATGGATAAGTGACTGGGGAGAAAAAAAACCCCAATAAGTTGGTTAATATTGTAGCAGAGCCAAGAGCTGGACAAAAATATTCCAAGTCCGGTATCATAACTACAAGATTATTTAGTCTTTGTTATTGCTGTAATTTTCTAATGTACAATCAGTTGGTCTGATGCAGTATTTTACTTTTCATGGCATCAGATGGAAAAGGATGAATCAGAAAGTCTTGTTTCTGTTCCCACCTTCTGTACAGACTTTCGCTGTAACCTCGGTCATGTAACTTGCCAAGTAAATGTCAACACATGGTCTGTGTGCTGTTCAGGAGCACAACATTCTTGATAGATCTTCACTGATATTCCAGAGCCCAGCTGAATTTATCTCTGTTTCATTTTCTGCAGAATAGTGATGACTTCGTTCTGATTTCTGGCTGTTAGAAGTGAAACTTTATAATAGCTTTAAAACCTAAAAGTGAAGGAAAGTGCTATAGATAAATTAACTTAATTATGTTTAATGATGGTACATGTATTATTTTTTTTTTCAGTATACCCTGATCTGGGATGGATACAAAAGGATGACATAGTAAACCAGCTGCTAAAGCCTTTGTGTTTGCTTATATGTAGCTTATTAACCTGTGCTTATTAACTTTATCACTCTAACGTAGATAGAAATATTTAGTTGTGTAATGTGTAAAATAATCATCTCTTAAAGCCAACTTAAATACATACAGTGACATCTAATGCTGATTTAGGTACCTAAAGTCTTACCCATAAACAGCTTTATTGTCTTAAACATAGCCCCTTCAGCAAAGTAGTACAGCCCTTTCCTCTCTGGATCAGTTCTGAAGAAAACATATTTATATCAGTGTTGCTTTTTCCCAGACCAGGTGAAAACCAAACCTGTTCTGTTACTTCGGTACCAGAATACAGCATGCCCACATTAGCTGTTGAACCAGTGTAACACTGGTGTTAAGCTGTGAAATCACAGTGTGGTTTGAGCATGTGATCAGATCAGGCCAGGTTGCCTTAAAGTATGAGTGTGTGCAGGCTCTTCTCTTACGGTTTTGTTCCTAGTGATCTCAAATTCTCCTTTATTTAAATACCTTCATCTCCTCTGGTTCTCCAAATATAGCTTCATGTTTTCAGCTCTTGTCCTTTCTACTCTACTTAATCAGCTGGAAGAAAGCACATATTGTGGCTGACATGAGGGCTAATCGTTCTGCCATTATGTGAGTATTTCTAGGGCAACTGACAGGCCACACAGAACATGTTACCACCAAGCTTATATTGCAATATTTCTCATTGTGAAAGTAGTAATGTAAGTCTCTCAGCTCTTTCCAGCTGCTAGTTTTCATGGAAGTGGCAGTATTTTAATGTAATGGAGACTTCTTCCCACATTGTCAACTGCAGATGAAAAGCCAACAGCTTCAGAAGTTGTAAGCCAGGTTGGAAATGAAGGATGGGGAGGGTCGGGGGGTGGCAACCGCCGCTTAATAGCAGAATCATAGAGTCTCATTTCCTTTGGAAACCAGGATGAAAATAACATTCAAACTGATATATTTATGTTTAATAAAAAACTGCGTGTATAAACCTGCCTAAAATTAGAGCCACTCCTCTTCTCTTATTAGTCAGTGTTTATTCTCTTTATTTGGTGCATTTAAATTCATATTTACTCAGCTGCAGGAGGAAGTGAGGGATTTTTCAGAAGGACACCTGTATCTGCTCATGTGGACTTTATTCTTCTATGTATTTGAATGCTGATCTAGCAGCATTACCAGCTAAGTGACAGGTATGCTAGAACATTGTTAAGTAATCAGTGTACTAACAGGGCCAGATAAAAAACAGAGTTGCAAAAGAAAATTGCTAATAGCTTTTGTTATGCCATGCCTCTGCTCCAGAGACATATATGCAACAATGACAGAATGAGTCAGTGGTCCCAGTGATTTGTCTCATGACAGATTCATCAGAGTAGATTAGTTAGTTTTCTGTACCATGACATTCAGCCTTTTAATGTGATTTTATAAAATTCATCACTGGTTACTGAAGGGAAAAAAAGAAGAAAATAAGAGAATTTCCTCATCTTGAACTCTCCTGCTAAGACTTATTCTTCTGAAGAAGGCACATTTATTCTAAATGACTGTTGCTCTGAACATAAGGGCCAGAAAAAGTAAAACAGTGATGAACGGAGAAGATGGTGGATTACAGGTGTAAAACTGATTTTCCATGTGGTCCTCTCTCCCAGTTCTTTGATAAAGCAGATGTCTGAAAATGAATTTTATCTGAAGATTAATTTTGTCCGTAAAATGTGCTGAATTGTTTTTGTTTCTGCTGTTTGTCTGTCCTGTCTTCAGTAGGATATTCAGGAAACAGGAGATTTTATTGTTTATAACAGAACTCAGTCTAAAATATGCAACTTGACTGGAATGTTACTGAACATAAAATCACTGCAAACCCCAAAGGTAGAATAGATTTGGGAACTGCAGGTAACTCATCTTGATGATGACTCTTGTCGTGGATCCCTTCAAGATGTTTTATTTGCTCTCTTCTCCTCCAGCTTTAGTATGGTTTTGGCATCCTCTGCCTCATTTGATTAACTCTCTTAAGCTTTTACCTTCAGTGTAGGAATTTATAGTTCACAGACTTAGTTTGCTGACTGTAAAACCCCCAGAGAGAGAAATCACACTTGTATAGAAGTATTGAAGTGAAAGCAGGAGCTTTGCATGAAAAACAGCATTCATAAACAGAGTGGTATAAACACAGTGTAACACTGTCTCCTGTTCCCTGCTCTGGGGCTTCAGGCTGCCACTCTGGCATACTGCAAGGATATATTTGCAGAATATAGTGGAAAGAACTGAAAAAACATTGGTAAGGATTGGTCCAATATTGAATTTTTGCTACACAGAATAAAACTGGTTTGAACTTTGAAAAAATGATGAAAAAAATTTTGGAAGAAACTTCAGAATATCACACCGGACCAAACTGTGTCCATACTGTGACTCCAGAGTTGACACTGGTTATTTGTTTTATACTAAAAGTATATCTTAAGAGCTGTTGATCAACTGATGACTATTAAAAAATGTACTATCAATTTCTGTAAAATTTTTCATGTACTGCACTTGTCCTTGTACATACGAACACTAACCTGATGTACCAAAAATATGCCCAATTGTTTTAGCTGGCAGTTTTTTCATGGTACTGCTTTTTCAAAATTTGAAAATGTAATTACAACAGCAGGCTGCCCTTCTGATCATAATTTTATTATTGAAAGAATGTTAATTTCTTACATTGTTTATTAAGTCCCGGAAACCTTTCACTGGCATCAAGCAGGGATGAGAATGATCAGCTCATTCAAGACTGTTTTATAGTCTTGCTGAAATTGTTTGGAGGAAATGCTGCAAGCCAGTTCTGTCACTTCAGAATTTCTCATCTAATGTGCAGACAGGTCTTTCTTATATCAACTAACTATACCTGCTGTCACTTCTGAGTGGATACAGCTGCTTCATATCTTCCTGTATCTTGAACTTTAAACAGGAGTTTCCTACACTACAAAATTATCTAACTTCCAACTTTGAACCATCAGATGGAAAAAAATCACAAGTTTGTTAAAGTTGTACCGTATATTTTGGTTCCTTTTTCACTTTGTATGATTTTTTATATGTCCCAGAGAGGAGGGAGAACAAGAACACAGATTTAGAATGCAGATCTCATCTATACACCTTTACTTTTACACTAAATTTACATTAATTTATGATTTTATATCACTGTGTAACTGGTGTAAGGACAGATTAAACCTCAAGTGCAGTGAACACGGAGGATGAGAGTGACCTAAGCCTCACATGTTGTATAGACAGCAAGATTAAATGCAGAAAAATTGTATTTGTCAGTGTAATATTTTTAAACCCTAGTTCAAAGTGGTATAGTAAATACTGAATCTTTATAGGAGAGGTTTTCAGAAGTGTTTGAGAAGAAGACCCACTTGCTATAGACCTGCTGCTGTCAGCATTTTACAGGCTGTTTATCTGCTGGAAATGTCCCAGCATCTAAATGAATAGATTTAAGATTATATGATCCCCCAGAAACCTTGTAGTTCTGTAAAAGCTATTTTAGTAAGGCCTGAGAAGGAAGGTGCAGTTTTAGGTTAAATTCAGATCAAAAGGCTATGAGAGATGAAGCTGCTGAGCTGAGCTTACACAGAGAGTGTTCAGGTTTGTTGCTTCTGAATTAATGTTGACTTCCATTTATATTGCGTGAAATCAATCCTATTTAGTTGTTATTGGTTGACAACAAAGGTTCAAGAAGAATTTATTTTCTTACAGAAGCAAAAGCAACAGTTTAGAACTAACTGGTGAAACGTGCTTGAGGATATCAACAAGGACCCTAGTATTTTTCATGTAGGCCATAAGATCATCTCTGACTGCTGCAGAAATGGATTGTGATCAGGAGTGGAAAATGGAGACACTTGTCTAAGCAAAGACTCCTTCTGCTAAAATTGAATCTTGTTGTAGTGACTTCTTTAAAAAAATTGCTGTAGAAATAGAGAATATGTAAGGAACATTTGCAAGTCAAATAAGAGTTTATTATATGAAAAAATCATGTAAGACTACAGCAGTGTAATTTCTGACCACATCGTAGTCTTTATTGCTTTTATCACCCTCAGTTCTTAACAGTTAATATTTTTCCCACTGTAAATACAACAAACAGAAGAATCAAGGAGTTACGTTCCTTCCCAGCAACCATCCCTGAATGCTGTGGCAGTACAGAGATATGCACACACAATTCACAAAAGCCAGGTGGGCGTTGCAGCCATTGCACCTTTCAGCTTGTCTCTGAGAAAAACAGAGGGAAAATTGTGCATCTCCACATCAGCAGTCTCAAGTGAGAGCAAGCTAGCAATGTACTTACATGTGCCATTCACTAGATACTGTTTTGCAGTTGCGTTCTTTCTCCTGAGAAAACTCCTGCTAGTTCCTGGGCTTTCTGCCCTAGAATACCATTTTTGTTTCATTGCCAGTGGGAGTCTGAGTGCCAGCAAAGAAGGGATTTGTTCAAGCAGCAGGCAGGCCCCATGGCTTAGGATTCTGAGCTCAAGGCAGGCAGCAAGAATCAGCTTGAACAGTGTTTTCATTGACTGAACTGCATACAAGTGATGGAAGGTATATAAATTATGTTCTCTCCTCTGAGACAGATGAGTGACTTACAAGAAGCAACCACAGAGCTTTGAGCAGGAATATCTATTCCTGCGTGTTTTTCTAAGGGGAGCCAACATCCCAGCTGGGGTACAGATCTGAGTAGATGTTTCTGAGTTTCAAGCTGACTCTGAAAGAAATGGCAAAAGAGCTCCTTGTTGGCCACTTGCCGAGATGTGTTTTCAGTCATTATTTCTCCTGATAAAGCATATATTTTTATTTTTTTTTGTCCTTTAGCCAATTATTTCTAATACTTAATTGTGGTAGAGCGGAATCCTACCTATGTGTTCAAGTTCAAGGGGTTTTCCATGATTATTTTTTCTACATTTTTGTATTTAAACCATGGAATTCATTCAGGTATTTCTGGTTTGTGCCGAGATTTTTCAAAACCTGACGGGATTTTGATATGCAAAGTGAGATTAAAAATTCTCATGTTATATTTGTAACTGCATTTCTTTGTTCCTAGCAGAAAAAAAACCCAACTATACAAACACAGAAAATAAAATTCTTCTGTGCTAGAATCTGCTTGTTCACTTTCTAACAGGTGAAATTTGGGCACAACAACTTTTGTCCTTTCTTCAGCTAAAATAGTGCAAATAAGTGGACACTTTATGAGGAGCAATACTTTTGTGTTGGATGTTGGAGTTCAATTGTTTTCTCTCAGTAAAGTTTGAAAGGAAAGCTGTGGCCAGCTCATAACTGACTTGCTATAGTAATTGATTCATATCCCTTGTCTGTCAAGGGGAAGAGTGGGAAGTGTAGTTATTGAAAAATATTATTGGAGCAATACACTTAAAGGTCAGGTCAGCTCTGGCATTTGGGTGATCTTTTCTTTCTCCACGACTGTAACAACAGGCTAATTTTCCCTGAATCTCCTCTTAAATCTTAGCCTTTAACCATAAAGGAAGTGTTGCTGAATACTAGGCTTGAGGAGTACAAAGGGTCTGAGCATTTAATAGAAAAGGAAGGCAAGGTGTCCCTTGCAAATCAGTAAGCAAAGACAAACCAGTGTGGTACAAGTGCTCTTTGATGATATTGAAAATATTAAAACATAGGAGGGGTCTGGGGATATGAACTGTACAAAGGGAAGAGTAGAAATGTCTTTATTTACAAACAGTACAACACTTTTAGGTGTTGTATGTTTCTCTGTTTACTTAAATGTGCACCCACTCAACATAGTGTTTGCATGAAAGTACATAAACAGAATGTAAGGGCATCATACATTCAGAAGTTTAGAATGTGACTGAACTATGGTTGCCCACTGGAAAACTGTGGTCAAGTCAGACAGGAAGGCAATGTCTTTCAACTTCTGGCTTTCTGCTCTTCCTGAGCTCCACAGTGCTGTGTTGCTGGAGGTCCCACCCAGTGCTTCAAAGCTTCTGAAAAGCCTTTTCCTTGAGACTGTGTTTAAGATTGCAAATGTTCTTGTGCTGGTATTATCTGCATCTCTGCTGTTCTCTGCATGCAGAGTAACCTGAGAAAAGAAGTGGTTTCATTTGACTCTATTTGGATGAAGTTTCCTCTCTGGGTGTGATATATTGGGTTATAACAGCTGCAATAGTCAACACTGTGGTAGGGCTGTCTGGGTGTGCTGTATTGGATTATGAGAGCTGGAATATCAGACTTCTCTTTTGGCATCAAAGGCTACACAATAAATAAACATTTGTGTGCCAAGTCACATACTTGTTTGTTCCCTCAATATATTTATAGGTAGGCTAGGGAAGTAGTTGATGCAAGGTGAACAGAAGAATGCAGTTTGGATCCCATTGTAACAGTCAGGTGGATAGTTCTGCCCATGCTGGAATTCAGCCCTTGGGGAAAATCAGGGTCACTTCTACTACTGCCATTCTTAAACTGTCATATAGTAGACATGGCAGGTCTAACTTGTGCCAATGCCTTTTCAACTGCATTTATTTTGCAAGCAGCTTGAACTGTCTCATTACTGCCAGACAGTGTGAGAGCTGAGCCAAACTTACAAATTATGAAAATACCAATCAGTAGGGAATGCTCTGTGTGATCTTTCCTCAAATTTAAGGCTGTATCCCACAGACTATGGTTATGACAAGCTACGTAGTAATTATTGGTGGTACAAAAAGGGTTTCTCAATGCTTTTGAAGTTTTCCACTATAAAATGCCTTTAGCAATTATTGTGAAAATTGCAAGGTTCACATGTTGCTGCTTTCTATTTGCATATCAGCCAACCTGAAGATTTGTACCTTCATGGAAGTATGTGTGTGGTGTTGCCTAGACGTAATTAAAATGAAGCTTCTTCATTTCTCCCCCTTTAAAACCAACATTTTCCTTGAAATCTGAGTCTAGGATAAGATGACTTCTTCTCTGTGAAGTTTTTCATCAAATGCTTTATCTTGATGGTAGTGCTGTGCAGCTGCATTCTGCTTCATATCATTCATATCAAAACGTATTTTCCCAGTTTCTCACCTTTAAGCATCTTGAATTTGTAAGTGAAAGGAAAGCTTTTCCCTTAGAGTAGATTAGTAACTTCTGGGCTAATGTAACCCTGCTGTCTGGGTACCATATTGCTAATAGAGGAGTGGATGAAAGCTGTTATTGGTAGTGCCTTGACCCTATCTTCTTGTTTGGTGCATCTTGTCAAAAGATATTCTGAAGATACCCTGACTTTTTAGCAAATACAGTTCATTATTTAGATGAAAAACATGTTTGCTTAAACTTCTGAGTGTCATAGATCGTGAAAATAAGGAAGCCCTTCACAGGAAGGAGTAAATCTTTTGTAGTTCATTGATCACAGTCTCTTGTATAGTATTCTTCATGGATTGAGAGTTTCTTCTTTACTCCATGTTGTTTATTTGTATAGAGATAGCAGATAGAAAATTGAAATACCAAAGGGTTGGTGCATATATGCAAATACAGGTGCTTTATTACTCAGAAAGCAAGAGATGACAGGTGGATGCAACTAACACTTATGAAGGGCAAAAGTAATGATGATAGAGCTTAAGAGGTCCCAACAGACTGGTACTTTACAATGAAAAAGTGGGATTTAGGAGGAAAGTTTAGAGGGCTCCTTGCAAGCAAGGAATAATGTCCAAAGCAGTAGTTGTTTATTCCACATTGTAACACCTCGTACCAGTTGCCCCTCACTCCTTCTAATTATAGTGTCATGATTTAGACATTTCTGAGTGTAGAAAAGCAGAAGACAAAAGGCCATTCTCTGTTTTATTCCTAGTTCTCTTTCGCAGTCCGGTTCCTCAGGGAGTAGTTCAAAAGAGACATCGTGCAATGGAAGACTCAGTGCAAGACAAGAAAGTTGATTTAATTTTCTCCACTCATTTTCTTCTGGGCATATAATTTAACTTTTCGGTTGTAAAATGTGAGATGTTACCAGTGGATTAGGACTGATTAGATGACTGAAAAAGTAATTTGAGTAGGGCATCAAAAGATCCTGCTTTTTAACACTGTATGACTTTAGAGCCACTTATCTAGGTACTGAATTTTGTAGATGATTCCTTGTGTGATGAAGCCTTCTGAGCAAAAAGCACTGTATAAACATCAACTGCTGTTATTGATGATTTCAGATGTTCCCATTCTTCTCCCTTTTTGTGGGCAGTAGCAGGCACTTGTAAGTTTCTGCAAGACTTAGGGTAACGTGATCGGTGCTGAATTCATCTGATCACTTGCTGTGCAGCTATCTTGGCAAAAGATCTTTTAAGAAATTCTTTTAAAGTTGTATCCTTTTGCTTTTCATGCAGCGTCCCATCATCTCCATCTGTTGGGGTCACAGGGATTCAAGACTGCTGATGGCTTCCGGACCTGCGTTGTATGTAGTCAGAGTCGAGCACAGGGTCTCCAGTCTGCAGCTGCTGTGCCAGCAGACCATCGCTAGCTGTCTGCGGGATGACAAGGACATCAGCAAACTCACCCTGCCCCCTCGGCTCTGCTCGTACCTCACCACTGCCTTTATACCAACCATCAAGGTAAAAGGACAGAAATGTGTGTCTTAGGCGGAGGAACAAAGGGTTACTAGATTGCTCCCCCATGGTGCCCCTAAGTGACAATGGCTAAATTATAAGATATTATTATAATTATCATTTTAGAGGCTTGATTAAGGGTCATTCCTGTCCTCTTCAAGAGCCCTCTGATGCATTTGGTGCCTATGAAAAATCTGAAAAGAAGGCTCACACGTGCTGGTCTGCATTGTTCCATAGAGATGGCCTTTCCAAGTACATTGCAAGGGTAAAATATGCTGGTGACTCACAAAGACTTGTGAAGAAGCTCATGCTGATGATAATACTGTGTCATGGTTATAGGAGGGATTTGCAGTGGTAAAGCTGTTGCCTCCCTGCATGTCACATGAGTGCTTATATTACCAGGAAAGTTAGACTTAAGACCTGGGGCTGCCCAAGTATTCCTACAAAGGGTTCTGCTTACCTTACTGCTCCAACAGTGCTGTGGAAAAATGAGCCAGATATTACACCTTTTCCTGTACCGCGAGCAGAACCATCTGCACAACGTGTTTGTTTCATGGTTTTGCCCTCAGTAACATCTTGAGATTTTCTAGACTCTTTATCACAACCTATAAACCAGAGCATTAGCTGATAAATGCTCAACATTGAAACGCACTTTTTTGTGATTTTTTTTTTTGTGTACGTGCTGCATCATTCTTTTGAACCAACTTCAGGTCTTTGTCAAAACAATGCAAAGCTAGAACAAGTAATTTGAAATCAGTGGGACTGGCTCAGCTTAAGTGAGAACAAATTATGCCTAAAAACCAATTTAACACAGTTTGGGTACTATTAATCAGGGCAGTTTGTGCAACTGTAAAACATTTCGCTTGTCAGAGAAGAATAAATGCCTTGTTGTAACCATGAGACCTCCATCTCCAAAGATGCAGAGCATCTAATAAACCAGTTGTCTTCACTTCTTTCTAGAATTCCTCCTTCTCTCCAGGATGCTTCTTTCCATGTTATTCCAGAGCCAGCCCTGCAGCTCTCTAGAGCATCAATGATAATTGCTTGGCTGTTAGAGAAGGAAGGGGAACAGATGGGATGAAGACAGCAGTTGGCTGTAGCAAGGCTGGAATCCATGGCAGGGCTCAGAGGGGCAGAGGCAGTACAGGAGCACATTGTTGCCAACAACCCTTCTGTCACCTCTGAGAGGGGATGCTGGATGGGTCACAGTTGTGGGGCTGTGAGGCTGAAGCTGAGAGGCTGAAGCAGGGTTTCCAGAAGCCACATGCCTGTGGTCTTTTGTGAGTGTTTCTGGAGCTTCCTCAGCACTTATTTATACTTTGCCCTGGGCTCTCACCCAGCCACACACTCAACCTACGTTGCCAGCCGTGCCTTCAGTGCTTGCACAGGCACCCCCTTCCATGCACACATTCCTCTCCCCCCTCCAGTTCTCAGACTACATTATAGGTCACTCCTCAGCCCATATCCATCTTACAAGATTAAGAAAGCTATTTTTTTCCTACCCTTTTTTCCCCTCATGCTTTCATTTTGAAAGAGACTGTGTTGACTTAGACATATTAGTAGTATTTGTGTCGTACAGGCTATATTGTCCTAGACAAAAGCAGTCCTGCTGCTTTAGAACCAAGTTTCTCATGGATTAACACAGTGTGGCTGGCAAGCAGGGCAAAGTAACCCACCCTGACTGACCTATGTGCTCATATTTCTCCACATTGCACACAAATAGGCCCTCAGCAAAGATACGCTTGGAAGTGGTATAAGAAGTACAAGCTTCTTTCAGACCTAACAGCGTTGTAGGGTAGTGGCGTTAACATGTACCAATACTAACCAGCAATGGGAATCTGAGTGGTCAGGTTCACTTGGAGGGCCTACAAGAGACGAGATACTCTGATATTTGACTTGACCACATTACCCAAGTTCAAAAAGACGTCTGTGATATGAGCCAAACTGTTTTCTAATTCAGTGCTCTGACCACAGGTTCAACCATCTTTTTTGATATAACTAGTTGTAGATTTCTGTGTACAACTGCTTTTGACCCAACCAAATAATACACAGACACTCTCTCGTATGTGGGTCCTGCATAACTCACGGAGTAACCCGTACTAATCTTCACCTACCAAATTAGAGCTGGGTTCAAATTCAGTTAGTTTTTCTGGGATTAAGTCACCATAGAAAAAAAAGCAACCAATAACCTATGGGAAACTGTCTCTTTCCTTTCTCCGTTTAATTAAGCCTCCCATCCCAGACCCAAACAATATGAGAGACTTTGTCAGCTACCCAACATCTGGTAATGAACGGCTTCACTGCACGATGAAGCGGACAGAAGATGACCCAGAGGTTGGTGGTCCGTGTTATACTTTGTACTTGGAATACCTTGGGGGACTGGTGCCTATCCTGAAAGGACGTCGTATCAGCAAGTTGCGACCAGAGTTTGTCATCATGGATCCTAAAACAGATGGAAAAGCAGGTAAAACTGAATTGTTGTTTTGTATAAAAAACTATTTTGAAATGCTTTTGATATTAAATCCTCAAGAGTTTAAAAATATATATGTATGCAACATAAATGGTGACGTCTGATGTTTGTTCTTATGGGAAAAAATCTTTAGCATGACCTAGACTCACACCTCTGAAATTGTACCATCCTGCCTTTTGTTTTACAAAAGAGAACTTCTTGTAATAGAAAATAGACTGCTAATTAGAGGAAAATATTCCTTAGTCTCAATTTTGAAGTCAATTGATTCGCTCCTCTGAATCACGTTCACTTGAGTTCATACTATTGGAAATTTTGATTTTATACTAGGCAAGGTGAGAAATGTTTACTTTTTCTCTGCATAGTTTTATTTCAATTACTGCCTGTAGATTGGGTTTATGCTTCTGGTGACTGAGAGCTGTAATTTCTACCAGTTTTCTGAAGTATCACTTAAATTTTCTGGGGCCTGTCTTGATAGATGAAATCTATGGAAACAGCTTGATTTCCACTGTGATTGACAGCTGCAACTGCTCTGACTCCAGTGATATTGAACTCAGTGATGACTGGGCAGCAAAGAAATCTCCAAAAATCAGTCGAGCTAGCAAATCACCTAAACTCCCCAGGTAATAATTTTTTGGATATTTCTTCTTCTTCTTCCCCATGTATTCGTTCTCTGTTTCTCTCTTTCACCCTTTCTCCCCATCTCTTACTGTCCTGACCCCCTGTAAACTTAAAAGCAAACTGCTTTGGGCAGATAGGAATCATAGGATTGGGGTCGTCTTCAGTGTTCAGTTATGGGTTGATCTCAGAGATTAGTGTAGAGTTGGACTTTGTGGAAGATTCTGGGGCAAAATGTAATGGGAAACAATAGGGCACCACTTCTCCCTAGGCCTCAAAAAAAGAGTTTATAAACTCTCCCACCTCTGCCTTTGCCACATATGAACTCTTGCCACCATGGAATCTATTTGTCTGTCAAACAGACTGTGTTTTTACCCCCTCAGTGCTTAGAGTCCCTGATCTAGTTAAAACCTTTATTTCCTCAGGGATATTTTCAAAGTCTTACGTCCATGCATAGGTGGCATGGATCCTGACAGGTGGCACTGATGCTGTGGTGAACTTGCAAGGCAGCCTTAACAAACAGACCCTCCTAAATACTGTGGTGACGAGGTTCTGTAACAATATGCAAAGCAAGCTTCCAAGCTATTAATTTGTCCAGTTGTTTTCCTGACAGCTTGACCCATAATTCTCCATCCTGTAGACTATTAGCCACTTAGAGGACAGCACGCCAGTTGTCTTCATTACATCTTTACTTTCAAAGACATGAATTTTGTACATTTTTTCGTGCCCACTGATGACTCTTAATTATTGCTTTATCTGCAGAATCAATATAGAAGCTCGCAAATCTCCAAAGATGTCCCGAGCTGCGCAGGAGATATCAAGATCGCCAAGGTTACCAATAAGGAAACCCTCTATTGGTTCACCAAGCCTGACCCGAAGGGAGTTTCCTTTAGAAGATATTACCCAGGTATTGTACATATTGTTACCAAACCTGATTCAAATGGATTTTCTTCAAGAGGCAGCAAGTTGTGATAGAGATCCAATGTTCACCAATAAAAAAAATTCATCTAATTACAGTTACTAGAAGAGAATTGCATATTCCAGTTAAATGTTAATGTTCAAAAGTGCCAGTGGAGGTGTCGTTTGATAAATCACATCACCACTAAATTTTGTCAGTGTGAATCCATGTGAGAAGTTTTATTCCAAGTGATATTGTTGGCTTTGTAAAAGTATATGTGAAAATGCTTCATTGGTTTCTCAGGGCTGTCTTAATGCCACCCTAATTCTCTGCTTTGCTAAGGATTGCTGAGATAAGGCAATGTTTGCTTCAGAGGACCACATGTTCTCTGTTTCATAATTACATGGAACAGTCTTAACTGGTAGGAAGGAAAGGAATTAGCACTTTGTACTCTTTGTGGTGTTCATGTCCTCGGGGTAAATAAAACTTATAAGGCTGTAGAACTATCTGGGTTACATATTTGATTAATAACAGCCTGCATTCTTTTAATTTGGTTTGGTTTGCTTTGGTTTTTTTCTGCTCTCTTGTTTCACCTTTTCCTTTTCATGAAAAATTCTAGATCAGTTACACAGAGATAGGACCAAAAGTCCCTTGAATAGGGCAGGAGACCTGAGGCTTAGATCCTGCTCTTAATATTGACAGCATAACTCCTGGCCTTGGAGAAAATCTCTTGGCCTTTCTGACCCATAATATATTCACCAAGGCAGCAGTGGTTCGGGAAGTTGCTTTAGGAGCTCCAGGGAAAAATATGTTTGCTGTTATGAGTAATTAATTTGTATCTTAATGTTTTATAAAGTGACTCAAGCATAGAACCAACAGGCAGGGTTTGTTACTTTCTGAAATACAGAACAGCCGTGTTCTTGCTGTGCAGAAGAGCAAGCATTTGACAACAGACCTGTCCTCACTAAGCAGGCATCGTTCGGTTGCTACAAGGGCACATTAGGCTGTTTCAATAGAATAAAAACAAGAGAAGCTGAAATTGCATTATCCTGTGCAATAGCTTGATTGCTCTGCAGTTTTTTTTATTAGAGTTTGATACAGATTTTATCAGGTAAAAATGATCTTGTTTTTGCTTTGCAGCACAACTACCTTGCTCAGGTCACATCTAATATCTGGGGAACCAAATTTAAAATTGTGGGTTTGGCTGCTTTCCTACCAACTAACCTTGGTGCAGGTAAAAGTAAACTCTCTTGATTTTTTTGCATGTCAAATTCTTTCTAACAAACAACAAATTTATGCCATGAGGTTCTTTTTAAGTGGTCAAAAGACTTCTTTAACAAAGCACTTATTTTCTGTGGACAGTAGGAATTAGATTTTATGAAATTCACTGTAACTAAAGGAAATCAAAATCTATAAATACAATAATGACATTATCAATAAAATGCTAAAAGTCTCACTTGTAATAAACTGATAAATTAACATTCAAGCCCGGACCTTTATTTTTACAGTTTTTATGAACAAAACCCACATGAAATGAAAAAAGTTTTTTCAAGAGGATTCTAAAAATCATGGCTATTAAGTTACTGCAACAGAAATATTTTTAAAAGTCAGATTTTTATAGTCATTTAGCTAGAAATCAAACAAAAATAATGTTAAAAAAGCTCTTACAGCATCATGCTCAAGATTCTTCAAGTCAGTATATAGCCTTATCCTGGGGTTCTCCTGCTGGAGCATGAGTAGGTTTACTTACTGGAGCATCAGTAACCTGTTAGCCTTCATTAAAAGTAGCAGTTTTCTAGTCTATCAACCTTATTTTGGGTAGGCCAGTCCTACCCAGATAGTTCTGTTGGAAGGAAGAAGTCTGAGTAAAGAGCAGGGTACCACCTGGTAGAACTGAGCTCTGAATTGAAACATTAATGCAAGTATAGCAGTTTAATGAACTCCTTGGAAAAATTACGTTTTCCTGTGTATCATTATATAGTTAGATCAGGAGTATATAAAGATTCCCTGGAAGCAGAATTAGATAGATGCTTTCTGTGGCTATATTGACTGCTATCAGTAGTAGAATGACCAGAGGTCATTCTGATTTTCTCATTGTCAGTGACAGATAGGTAGGGAAGGATGTAAGTGTAGTGTAAGTGTATAGTGATACTTCCTTCAAATGTTCTCCTAGTCTCCAGTGTTTGGGTCCAAGGGACTTGCTGAGCCAGAAGGGATTTCTTTGTATGTAGTAAGCTTTAACAGATTTCATTCCTGAAAACTTTCCAGTCTTCCCCTAAAGTCACGTGAGTCAGTAGCATCCTGTGGTGAAGAGTTCCAAAAGTAGAATGGAAAAAGTATTTTACTTCTTTAGAAATAGATGTGAATAAAAGATGAAGTAATTAATTATTTCTACTTATTATTTAACTACAGAAATGCTGCTTCCATTTAAAGAGAAATAGCTGAAAGTTACAATCCCTTTAATCCATTTATGCAAAGTGTTACGTAGTAATTGGACAAATAATGGTTCAACCATGCACATGTGTATAGTTAATAATATTCATAGCCCTTTCTGTCTGCTTTGAATTGATTCTTTCTTAGGTTTAGATGCTCTTTGTGTAACAGATTTTTATCTCTTGTTATACTCTTTCTCTAGTAATATATAAAACCAGTTTGCTGCATCTACAGCCCAGACAAATGACAATATATCTCCCAGAGGTGCGGAAGATTTCAATGGACTACATTAACATGCCTGTCTTTAATCCAAATGTTTTCAGCGAAGACGAAGATGATTTACCAGGTAAGGAAGAGCTGGAGGTCTGCCATGTTATGGGTCAAGCTAGATGAAGGACAGATCATTTGTGTTATGGTCCCCTGTGGTAAACACATATCAAAGTCCCTTAGTCTGATGGGATCCTGTAAAACCAAATTAGCATAAGGCTCATATATATTATGGGCATTGTTTTCTGATATATGTGGAAAATATAATCCATGTAGAGCTGCTAAGTTTCAGGTTCACTGGGAAAGTAGCCATCTGCTAATTCACCTTAGTTTGCTAAGAATTCTCCATAAACTGAAGCCTTGCATTCTGCATCTTGACAGGACAGAACTGTAATGTGTTGGAAGCCCAAACAGATGGTTCTTGAGACCTTATGGCATCAAAGCACAGCCTGCTGATGGGAGCTTGGGTTGGGGGACAGGTTCCCATAATACTTAGCCACCCTTTAAGAAGTGATAAATGCTCATTTGGACTTTTATCAATATTAAGAGGCCAAAATAGGCAAGTAGTTTATCAACAAGTGGGATCAGGAAGAATTTTTCGTTTCACTGAGGTGTAAAGTTAGCAGTAGATTCAAGCCGTGTAGTTGATGTGATGTGGCAGGTAAAAATGACTGGAAGAATTCAGGACCTCCTCCAATCAAAAAACCATCGTGCTGGTAAAATTCAAAATTAATAGACAAGAAGATAAATTAATACATTTTCAGAATTTTCATATCAGAGAGAGATTCCTTTTGCCAGGTCACAGGTGTTTGGAACTACAGAAGTGGCCATCATGCCAGTACCCTTTAAGAAGGAAGGAGTGTGAGCACTGCAAAGCAATTAAAGTTGTCCTTACTTTGCTAGTCTACTGAAATAAATGGTAATGCTCCCATCAGACGAGGGTTTCAACTACTGAAAGCACCTAAACTTGTGTCTGACCAAAGCATCAGAGTAGTCTTCTAGACTACTAAAGAAATACTTCTATATTTAAAATGAAGCTCATTTTTTCACAGTTTGGGGGACTTGGCTTGCCTCATTTCTGTCAACATGATATTCACCTGTAGGTTCTGAAGAAATAATAGAGACATTGATGATTGTATACATTTTACTAATAGGAAGCACTCAACATTCTCTATTACGAAACATGGTCCAAGCTGACAGAAAGTAATATAAAAATAAATAGAAAAGAAAAAATTTAATATAAAGTTTTTGCAGCTCTTCCTGAAGATTGGATTGGATCTGCAATATATATTTCTTTTATCTTATTAAAGAGTTGAAATGATACTCAGAATTGCAGGTACACCACGTACAGAGAGAAAATTGTTTGAGAGTTTTGTTATGATTCTTCAAGAAGTCTAGTAAAAGAATCATACTACCCTGTCCTTCATAATAGCCCTCCTCTTCTTGTCCACTTTTTCCTTTCTAGTTTCTTCTGAAAATTCATTTCTGACTTAGCAAATGGTGGCTATTTAAAAAATCAGAAATGATTTTGGGGATATCCTTTCATAAAGTCTGCATATAAAGGAAAAAAGTGCCATGTACTAATGGAAAAAATATTGCAGTGTAAATAATGATTACATGGCAGATTAAAAAAAAGCATAGTAGAAAGCTGCTCTTGGGCAGTCAAATGTTCATAGTACCCTTGGGACATGTGTTTCTAAATGTAGTCAGTAAAGATTTGGAAAGACAAATGCACAGTGAATTGATTTAACTTACAAAGCAAGCAAACAAATCAATTAAAAACCATTGGAGAAATGAAAAACACATTTAAGCACTTTGGAATATTAAGCAACACCACAACAAATGAAATTTTGTTTGATAAGGCACTTAATACCCATGACAGCAACAATCATGATTGCTTAAGCCAACCTAACAATTAAACCTCAAGCTCTAAATTTAGCTGGCAGCTAAATTGCTAACCTGCAATTTCAGGATGAAAGCATGGCCTGCCAGCCAAGCACAACCCCACTGCCTTAGGGCCAGATAAGTTGAGCTGTCCGTCTTCTTCTGAAGGAACGAACAGAGCTACCATAAATATTTGCCAGTATAGCCACAATCCTCTCTATTCACCTACCACGTTCATCTCTGATGCTGATAAAAGCATAATGCTATTGAAAATGTATTATGGGGCATAGGTAAATTACTAGAATTTTAATTATAATTTAATTAGGAACTTGGCAGCATCTGGAGGAGTCCTGACTAATGGATCTCTTGCCTGATCTGGTCTTGCAAATCTCAGTCCCAGCAGAATTTGGCACACTTAAAGGATTCTGAATATGATTCTAGGATCCTTTATCTCTTTTCCTTCCACAAATTTGCTGATACACACCACTTATTATTTTCTGTGTGGTTTTTTTTACAGGAAGATTAATGAAAGATAAAGAACTTGCAATATTCCTGGGAGTTCTAATATAGTTTTAACAGTTTCCCCTCATTATTCTATTTTGTTCCCTTTTATCTTGACTTCTGCACCTGTACTTGGGTCCAGTGTTCTCATTTCCCTGCTTCAGCTTTTCAGCGGTAGTTCCTGTTGGAAACACTCTCACCACTTTTTTCAAAAGGATTGCAAAGAACTGAGGATGGTCAATGCTTCTGCTTAAAATCAGGGGAATTGCTTCTTGCTGCACTGTCCCTTGTTCACCACCACTACATATAGGAGATTTTTCCTATGTGCATTTTCTTCTTTTCACATTTCTGATTGCAGTGTGCCCAAGCATTGAGGCTGAAGTCACCCTGACTACAGTGCCCACCTCTTGAATTTTTTGGCTTCCCATCTATTTCCTCACATCTTCCCCTTACATTTTCCGTGTGGCTTCCCACGTATTTCTTCACATCTTTTCCTTACCAATCTTCTTTTAAAACTTTTATAAGTTTTGTCTGCATTTCATTCAATCATACTTCTTTCTGTCTTGGTTTCAGCTTCCTTGTTTTTATGTTACTGGTTGGTTTGTCACCCACTGTACTCAAGAGATTATAGTACTTCCCTTTTCCCAACTGTTGCCTGTATTCTCCAGTTTTCCTAAGCTCATTGAGCCTAGGAGCATTATACAAGATACTATACAGGGCCTGCAGTGCAGATCTTCAACTTTTTTTTCTTATCCTCCACTTCTTTTTTTTGTTTGCTTGTTTTTCTTAATTGTTTGTTGATGTATTTACCATCAAAAAACCCTCCCTGAAAAAAACTAGTGAGTCCTGATTTAGCAAAACTTTTATTGATTTGAGTAGAAGTAGATGAGTGGGTGGTAATTCAGACTGTGAAAGTCCATGGGGATTGTAGAGTAGGCTGAAAGCAAGGTCGGAACTTTACTTCTGAAGTGTCACTCCCAAAATGTGGCTTTAAAGTTGGTCACCAGCTGTTGCAAGTAGCTCTTTTGCAGTGGGAGTCAGGGGAGATGGGCTGGCTTACACATTCAAACTGAGGTCTGATCCATTGGTTTTGGGAACCAGTAGCAGTCCATCCAGATACAGCAGACTGCTTAAGCAAGTACACAAAGGTAACAAGTAGTTTAAAAAGTCCCTTCATGACTGGGCCTTGCCATCACATGGGAGGGATCCCAGGGGTGGGGAGAGGAGGCCGGCCGAGACAGACGGTGACACGCTTTGTTGTTCTTTGCAGTGCCCGGTGCCCCCGGCGCCCCCGCCAGCAGCCCGCCGTGCACCGTCAACATCCCCATCGCCCCCATCCACAGCTCCGCACAGGCCATGTCGCCTACACAGAGCATAGGCCTGGTCCAGTCGCTGCTGGCCAACCAGAACGTGCAGCTGGATGTGCTGGCAAACCCGCCGGCGGAAGCGGGGAGTGAGGGGACGGGACCCTTCCCGGGGGCGCCAGGCCGCTTTCCCGGCCCTGGGGCAGGGGCACTGGCCGTGGGGGAGCTGGGCCGCCCAGCCCCACCACCGCCTCCGCTCGCCCCGCCGCCCCCCGCGCCCCCCGCCATCGCCCTGGCTGACCTGCGGGACCACAGCGACCGGGAGCACGAGCCCCCACCCAAGACCAAGGCCCCACGGCCGGGGCCACAGCTGGTAGAAGGGGATGCCGTCATCTTTGGGGCCGCTCAGGAGCTGCAGCTGAACAAGATGAACCCGCCGCCACCCTACCCCGGCACCATCCCTGCCCCACCGACCCTGCCACCCCCACCTGGCCCCCCGCAGCCGCCCCTCGATCTCTGCCTCAAAAAGGGGGAGTTCTCACTCTACCCGGCGGGGCACTACCAGACGCCCCTGGGGTACGAGCGGATAACAACGTTTGACAGCAGCGGGAACGTGGAGGAGGTGTGCCGGCCTCGCACCAGGATGCTCTGTGCCCAGAGCACCTACACCCTGCCGGGTCCTGGCAGCTCTGCCACCTTGCGTATCACAGCTGCTGAGAAGAAGATGCAGCAGCCCTGTGCCAGCGCCACCCTGAACCGGCTCACGGTCCCCCGTTACTCCATCCCAACCGGGGACCCACCGCCCTACCCTGACATTGCCAGCCAGCTGTCCCAGGGCAGAAGCATGGCACAGAGGCTGGACAGCACTATCATTCATGCTACTCTGCGAAGGAACAGCAGAGAGGCAGCCCTGAAAATGGCTCAGCTGATGGATGGTCAGAGAGCCACCTTGCAACTTCCCCCGAAACCCAAGAGCAACATTGTGACGGCACAGTACCAGCAGAGAGTACCCACTGCCTTGTACACCTGCAGCCAGTGCAGCAGTGGTGGTACTGGCAGCAGCAGCAATGCGAGCGCTGGTGGTGCGGGCAACATCCCTAGTGCCAGTGCTAGTAGCAGCACTTCCAATATCGGTGGCATGAGACCTGATCTGAGCACAGGGAGTGGCTCCCAGCACAGCTCTGTCATTGCTCACTCTGTCAGTACTTCGCCTCTGGCCTCCCAGTCCTCCTACAGCTTGCTGAGCCCACCTGACAATTCCCGTGACCGAGCAGATTATATCAACTCCGCCTTCACGGAGGATGAGGCCCTTTCTCAGCACTGCCCAGTGGAGAAATCAATACGGCACCCGCCTATGTCCTTGACAGAGGCTACCCTTGCTGTAAAACGGCCACCACCATACCAGTGGGACCCTATGGTGACTGAAGAGATATGGGTTCCTCAGGAAAGGACATCTCAGAGCTCAGTGCCCAATCCTCTAAAACCTGCTCCACTCATCATTGGTCAAACTCAACATCTGGATATGTCTCGAGTGCCATTCGTTTCCCCCAAATCTCCAACCAGTCCCACTGCCACCTTCCAGACAAGTTACGGGGTTGGAGTACCTTACCCAGGAAGCTACAGTGCCCCTCCCCTTCAGGGAATGCAGGCCCCCTGCTCCCCCAAAGAAGCTCTGGCCCCAACACAGTTTGCACAGCAGGAGCCCACGGTTGTGCTTCAGCCAGGTTATCCATCCAACCTCTCCTATTGCCCTTTGCCACCCATGTACCCGGGAAGTAGCACTTGCTCTAGTTTACAGCTGCCACCGATCGCCTTGCACCCGTGGAGCTCCTACAGCACCTGCCCACCCGTACAGAACCCCCAGGGCACCCTGCCCCCCAAACCGCTCCTTGTGGTGGAGAAGCCGGTGATGTCTCCCCCACCAGCAGAGCTGCAGGGCCACGTGGGCACAGAGGTGATGGTGGAGACGGCAGACACTTTCCAGGAGGTGCTCTCCTTGACAGAAAGCCCTGTTCCTCAAAGGACAGACAAATTTGGCAAGAAGAGCCGGAAACGCCTGGATAGTCGAGCCGAGGAAGGAAACATGCAGGCTATCACTGAGGGCAAAGTCAAAAAGGAGGCAAGGACACTGACTGACTTCAATTCGCTAATATCCAGCCCTCGGCTGGGGAGGGAGAAGAAGAAGGTCAAGAGCCAGAAAGATCAGCTGAAGTCCAAGAAACTAAACAAGACAAATGAGTTTCAGGACAGTTCAGAGAGTGAACCAGAGCTTTTTATCAGTGGAGATGAACTGATGAACCAGAGCCAGGGCAGCAAAAAGGGTTGGAAAACCAAAAGGAGTTTGAGGACAGCCACTGAACTGGATGAATTCAAGTGCCGGAAGGCCAGCGAGAAGGAGGATGGGAGACTGGGAAGCCAGGGCTTTGTGTACGTGATGGCCAACAAGCAGCCACTGTGGAACGAGGCGACGCAAGTCTACCAGCTGGACTTTGGAGGGCGGGTGACCCAGGAATCGGCAAAAAACTTTCAGATTGAGCTGGAAGGACGACAGGTAGGAATCAGTGACATAGATGTGTTGGAATGGGGTCCAGGGTGTGGGAAAGCCATGCCAGGAATAAGCTCTGTCTCTCATGCTGCCAAATGCCTCCTGCTTGATTGAGCTGCTCTGTGAGAAAAAGCTTTGCCATGTGGTTGATAAAAAACAGCCATCAGAGATCTAGATTCAGCATGGTGGGTGAAGTTCAATTGTAAAGTAAATATACAAAATATTTTGAGTCCTACTGCAGTCAGACATGGAAATAAGGGCCAACTTTAGTACCACTGGCTTTCACTAATGAAAGTTTTGTAATAATCACAACAGACAGGTAGCTGCATTTGCCATCAGTGCTGGTTATGGATGGCAGCTAGTTAGTGAATACTGCTCCCTTCTTGCCCTGCTCACAAAGGTTAGCCAGTCAGGAGATAGCTAAGGAAGAGACAATGGACAGTGAGTTTGGTTGTCTCCATGCCAGAATTTCCCCTTGTGGGTTACCAGGCCCCTGGGGCTGGTTCTTAATGCTAGAGGAGGGAGACACTGACCCTCTCCAGAACAAAGTGCTTGTGAGCCACTTCTGAACCATCCATGGGTAGAAGGGTCGATGGGTAGTTCAAAAAATCAAAACATTTAACGTGGCCCAAGTGGGATGTTACTACTATTACACCAAACCCAGCCTGTTAAGTGGTGCCAATCAGCAGGACTCTGGACTGAGATTTAGGAGATTCATATTTATTTCTTTGTCCAGCTGTAAGTCACTTTAAGTTTATTAAAGAGATCAAGGTTCTCAGTTTCCTCTGATTTAACTTGGGAGTTAGATGTCTTAAATATCCAACATTCATGACCAGTGGTAGTCTTTTGGTTTTGCTTGTCTCTAACAACAGCTCAAAGGCAGTGATCAGAGCAATTTATACCACTTTCTTCCTCAGCTAAAAGGCTGTGGATACATGCCCATGGGCAGCTGTGCGAACTAGCTCAAGGAGCTTCACTGTTGAGCAAGTACAATCTGGTCTTCTGGTGAAGTGAATGAAAAAGCAGTAAGAATAGGCCAAACTTCAGATATTCCCTGCAGAAGAACAACAAACAACCTGACTAGCCCTGCATTCAAACAGCTCTCACTACTGCTTTGCTAATTCTTTCTCAGTGTAATTATGCGCTAGTGAAGTTTATGCAAAAGGAAACAGAACTGCAAAGAATGCACAGCTTACGGCCTGTGAAATGCTACAGTGATAAAATTCCCCTTCCCTGGAAGCTCTTTTCTTTGGAAACAGAATCTATTTTCCTGATGGGTTGATGATAGGATTTTTATGAGGGCAAGAATGGTATTTTCCTGCAGGAAACATGATGCTGGTATACCTCACATCTTCTGAAGTAACTGGTGACAATCTACTTACACCAATGCTGTATGCACTCTAACATTTTTTAAAGTTGAGTTTGCTCTATAGAGTCATATATTGCAGTCAAATACTCTATGCAGACATAGCACGGTGCTCTTACTCTTCTTCAGCACCAAACCCCATTCTATGAGTAGTTCCATTCACATTACCTCAGGAGGTGAGGTGTTCATACAAAGGACCAAAAAGATTTTGCTCTTCTCTGGTTCCTTTTCTGTGGTTCACTTTTTTTGACCTTTATCTCTTTTTCCTTCCCCTCTCCTCTCCCCCTGCTTCCCAGGTGATGCAGTTTGGAAGAATTGATGGCAATGCTTACATTTTGGACTTTCAGTATCCATTTTCTGCAGTGCAAGCCTTTGCTGTTGCTCTGGCTAACGTGACTCAACGCCTCAAGTGAACAAGCAGAGACTGGAGAGAGGAAAATGTTAACCTTCTCAATAAAGTCCAAACCCGAAAATGTCAGGGCAGCCTGCTTTAGGTGTGCAGAGGTGCCTGGGAGTGAGGAAGGCAGTAAAACTGGAAAAGTCTTTTGGTGCCCACCAGAAGGGCATTAACTCTAATCAGTCATGGGGTGGAGGGTGGGGGGGCTGTTTTCTGTTTTGTTTGTTTGTTAGCGTGTTTTGTTTTCTGTTTTTGTTTTTTTTTTTTCTTTTTAAGCGTTGTGCTGGGTCTCAGAAAGAGCGAAGGGTTGAGAACCATTCGATGTTACGTGGAGAAGTGTGGCTTTTGGCTTGTTGTGGTGGTTCTGCCATGTGTGCTACAGTAGCTGATGTAAGCTCATGGGGGGATTAAAACAGACTGCTCTTTTTGATAGACTGCCTTATATCATGCTGTTCTTTTTAAAACAGGGAACATAACTTTCTTCTGGTCCAGTTTGTACTATTACTACTACTCTACTTCTAAAACATCAATGATAGCAGCAAAAAAAAAAAAAAGAAGAAAAAAAAAAGAAAAAAAGAAGCTATAATACTTGAATACATATGTTTCTTCTCTGATATCTGCTAATAACTGAGCACCACAGGTTCCAAGAAGGCATATGTAGGTCAGTGTTTAATTTATAAATAATAATGTATCATCCAAAAGAGAAAAAAGTGTTGCCAATGGGTGGTTGTCATGGTTTAGGGATGATATTCCCCAGTTTTAGTGCTCCCACTGAAACATTCCAAACCCCTCGCCACTCGCTCACTTCCCCCTCCCATGCGGCAGGCTGGAGAGGAGAACTGGAGGCACAAAAGGTAAAGATTGAGGGGTGAGATAAGAAAAATTTACTGGAAACAGCAGTGAAATAAAGCAAACCATAACAGCAACAATATTAATAACAGAATGTACAAGAGGCAAACTATTCACAGGTGATTGCTCACCACATGGAAACCCCTGACAATACCCCACCACACCACCACGCTACCTGACCTGGTAGGGCCCCTTCCCCATCGGAAAATGGTATGAGGTGGTATAGGAGGTTATTCTGAGGTAGTATGGAATAACCTCCAGGGCCTAGCCATGCTCACTCCTGGCTACTGCAAAATTTAACCTCATCCTGGCCCAAACCAGGAGAGCGGTTTAAAAACCCACTATATCAAAGAAGTTGGATATCTGCTTGTTTTGTATGCAGTTATTGGGGGTAAACATCTCGCAGAAAGTGACAAAAGATAGAGGGGCAAATAAATTATGAGCATGGCTTTTTTATTCTCATCGGTCAGCAGTATTCTCTGATTTGACATGTAGTTGGAAGAGGTACAGTGTGATCAGATACACCTCTGAGGCCATGCCTGTGCATGCTCTTTGTGTTTCAATGTGTTTACACCTTGTAAACAAAGTCTTTCCAGTGTATGAGAAGGCCCAGTCTTCTTAGCAATCAGAGTGAATCAAGTTCTACAACAGGGTATCAGTGTTTGAATTAGAAAGGAGACAGAAGTGTAGCAAGTCATGACAAGAAGCAGTTTCATCAGGAAAGCATATTCATTACTGGAAACGACATCGTGGCTGGCTGGAGAACAAATTAGTTGAAAGAGGAAGGAAAAATTGGGCAGAATGATCACCTTTTATCACCTTGCTACTTGATCAGTCTTTGTGACTGTATTTTGAGAATATAATACTCCAGATAAGAGCGGGAAGCCAAAGTTTACATGGAGTGTTACAGAGGAAGGCTTTTAACAGTAGCATGACTGCAGTTCTTTCTGGTGGATGTGCAGACCTGTTAAGCGTTTCAGAAGGGTTGCTTGCATTGAAGAGTTTCTGTGTTGTCCTTGTATTGTGCACATATTTATTTGCTTTCTCTCCTTCCTCCTTGTCAACATTTTGCTATAGAATATGTTTTGATATGGAAGTAGTTCACCTGGTAATATACAAACCCCAAAACTATTCATATAATTATTTGGACGTTAGATTACAAAACATCACTACAGATTTTCTTCAGAAATCAATCTTTTGAAGTTAAAGGCATGCTGGGAAAGATGTGCTATTTAAAATGTCAGTGGATGCTTTGTCTTTCATCCACTGTTTAACTTCTTTACTTGAAAAAGTTGGTATAACTTTAGATGAACAGGTATGATTTCCTCTCTTTTTCTTGAATCCTAGTAGTAAGGCAGATGTGTGTTGGCATTTGATTTGTTCTAGAGCAACATACCACATCATACCCTGCTGTAGTAGATATTAACAATATGCAGTGAGCTTCTAACTTCTGGTCTTCTGCAGCTGCTTGAGCTGCACAGCACAGAGGAGCACTGCCAGTCAGAGAGGAGTTTCAAGGAGTTTCCAAGGGAGACAATGAAGCAGATTGTGTAGTGCCCCATGGGTTAAGTCCAGGAAAAACCACCTTCAAGATGGTTTCATTGGAGAGAGGAAGCAGATGTAGGAAGGAAGGAGTAGGGCAGTAGATGGTACCGTGCCTGCATTATCCCAAAGCTCAGCAGCTTAGGCTTGTATATGGGAGTGATCAGGCACAACATTCCCCTTGGCATCTTGTTTGCTTTAATTATTTAGCATTTTTTCCACTAATTGTCCGGGCCTATTTGTGTTCTTTTTCGTGTGCATGATTTATTCAGCAGTTTGAGTGCCTGTATGTATAATGTGTATGTAAGAGAGGAGCCAAATTTGGTTTGGTTCTGGTCTCTTAAAAATCAATGGAAATTTTTCGCTTGGGGTTTTTTATGTGGAGGAAACACTGTTAAGCCCCTTGTCTATATTGAGTTATATACTGTAAAAACAGTAGGTTGAATTGTTAGTCCACTGATTCCAAAACACAAGTAGGAAAGTTGGCTGATGAGAGTCCTCACCTGCCCTAAGGTCTGTGCTAAGCAGTCATGCAGTAATTAGAGTTTAACAGGCACACACTGAACACCATAAGAGGAGAAACATACCAGGCTGGCTGGCTTGCATGCTGAGGGAAGAGCTACTTAGTCACATGTCAGAAATATTCAGCTGGAAGAAACATCTCCTGTAATTTTAAACCAAAATTATTAGTAAATGGAAACAACAGGAATGTTCTTTTCTTAAGAAAATCTAATCTAAATAGAAGGATTTCTGCATGCAGTTTCTTTACCCTTCCAGGGAACAGTATTCCTTTTCTCTAGGTTCATTGCCAAATTTTTCTGATTGTCGGAAGATTTATGCTAATGGAGAAGCAAGAAATGAAAACCGATAAAACAAGTAGCAAAGTTAGTAATTTGGCTTCAGTGGTCCAGGTCATGATTGCATCCTCCTGCTGGCACTCACAAAGAGCCTTGGCGTAGAAAGAGCCCTGGTTTCTGCCCCAGCAAAGCAGAAGGAATAATTATAAAAAAATTTGGAAAATAAATGCTGTTTCCATCATTCTTTCCATTTACTTGTCAGGAAATTCTATGAGATAAGATAATCTTTTATCTTTTGGAAAATAATTTAATGGAATCCCTTTAATTGAGGATTTTAATGCATAAAGAATACCCAGTATTAGAGAGAGAAAATATTCTGAAATATATAGAATTTTAATGAAAGGAATGGGAAATACATAAAAGTCTGAGTGTACAACAGGATTCTAAATTATACCAAGAACAAGTGAAAGCTGTTTTATTTTCCACCAAGATACAATATAGGAAACAAATTTAAAAACATCCTCAAATAATCACTTAAATCCTTAAGATTGCTATTGCATTCAGCCAAAAGGTAGATATTACATTTTCTATTTCGTTAGTAAAACAGAATTTTCCTGTAGATAACTAAATTTTTCTAGGAAGAATGTAGCAAAGTGTTCAAAAATACATAGTTCTTTTCTACATGCAGTAATTTTTGGTAGTAAAGGATGTTTTTCCAAAGCTTTTTTTTCCAGTTGTGCAATAATTGTAACAGTCTAGGGGGGTTATTTTGTTTCTGATGGGTTTTTTTGTTTGTTTTAGTTTGGGTTTGATTTTTCTTTAGGGAGTTTTGAGTGGGTTTTTTTAAAGATAATTTAATGTAGGTTTCCTGCTAATGTCCAAAAGACAAATTATTTTTCTTGCATAATGTAATAAGTGATATATGGATTATTTTATTACTATGTATCAGTGAGTTACACACATTTATATTTAAAGAGCATCTTTGTAAGTAATTGTTTGCTAGCAGGTATGTTTTGCTGCAAGAAATTAAAAATGCATATAGGAAGACCTGGTTTTGCTGGATAATTTGCAAAAATTTCATAATGCGGGCAGGAAAATATATTTTTTTTTGGCAGCTAGACACAGTGAGTTTGCTATGGAGAACTGTGTAGACTACAAAGAGTCTAGGTGACTTCTTTGGGACTTACAGAAATCTGTTCATTTTTGTTCCTAACTATACTTCAGTTGGGAGTGGTTTAAAAAATAGAAGTCTTGGTTTGCTTTCCCTCTTCTTAGTACAGTGCTTTGTCTTGATCTATAAAAGAAGGTGGGTTACGTGTTAAAAGAGAGTATAATGATGTAGGCTCAGTTTGTAAGGAGTTCATTGCATAGTTCAGTAGGGTTTGGCAGTGGTGTAATTCAGTGCTATGTGGAGATACAAGCAAACAAGCTTGGAATAAGCTGAGGCACAAATGCACAGCAGTAGAAGCATTTTCCTCTGCTCAGACTAATAACACTCCTTTTTAAGCTGAGTTCAGCTGGTTCCAGCGCAGCCATAGTGCTTCTGACAGGTGAGCTAATTCTGCACAGAGCTGATGGAGCTGAGACCTGGTGTTGCCTGCAGCAGCTTTACCTCCTCAAGATGCTCCGTAGGAGACCTGTTGGAGCAGGTGTTCCTCCACTCACCCTTCTAGATTTGCTCCTAGAGCAGCAGGAAGCTGCTGTGGAGTTTGGCTGCAGCAGCTTTGGGCAGGGAAAGCCCTGATGCCAGTCAGTGGCCACGGTGACCATTTAAAGTCAGAATCTGTTTTGATGGAGTTGCAAAGGGATTGCAGCATAGTAGTTTGGATTTTTGACTCATTCCTATTTCTAGGATTCCATCACAGGACAGGAGAGCAAGCTGTTAATGTTACTTAGAGACTGACATAATGGTTTTCCCAGAAGAGAGCAAATCAGCTGTACTGCTTACAAAAATCGAAAAATTCTAGTAGACAAAGTTTTCATGTTTTAAGTCCCTTCACCTTCAAGGCATAATCCTTCATTAGCAAATACCAATTCATAGTCCTGCTGCCCTCAGGAGTAGTCCACAGGTAGGCACCACGGGTCCTGTTCGCAGGATTGGAATTCACATGCACCGTTCTCAGAGGAATGAGGTCAACTATTACTAGTGAACAATGGGCTATGTGAATTATTTTGTCTTTGTATTTATCTGTGATTTAACTTTCTTCTTAAAAAATCCCACCGAGATGTTTTAAGGTGAAAA